CGGTATTACGTCGTCTTGCTTTTAGTACCAACCTTGAACTTTCTTTAAGTATATAATGTCGGAATTAATTTTCCACATGATGTTTGCAATGACTTTCATGAAGTGACACATTGATGTAGAAAAGTCTAAGATCTCTTTGACAACATGAGACATTATCAATAGATAATGAAGATGTTTGCCTTATTTCTTTTATTTAGAGTGCTACTTCTACTACAATTATTAGTATTTTAAGCAAACTAAGTCATTGAGTAAGTGAGCTTTACTTTTGCTAAATATGACTTCTTTTTATTAAAGTTGCAGATCTTACTCTTGCCATATGCAGCTAATTTTCCTTTGGGGGGAAAAAAGCTTGTTACTTTTTTAGTGGAGCAATCTGTTACCTTGTCTGTAGTCTGTGAAGTCAGTGCAATTCTAATTTGCATCAGCTAATAAAAAATGTGTGGGTTTTAAAGTGAAAATCATGCAAAAAATTTTTAAAAAAAAGGTGAACTAACGACTGATCATCTATGCAAAAAAACAAGGCTAGAAATGTGATCAAATTGGGTCATGGCAGTGCAGTTTTGTGCAGGGCTGTGAGCGTATCTGCAGACCTTGTATATTTTATCTTGGGAAGCAAAGCTCTTGGAAAATGTGCATAAGAGGGATGGAGAGAGCTTTTTTCATCCTCCTCTTTGAGCTATCATCGGGAAAGCAAGATTTTATGTTGCATTAAATGACAGAAATTTTAACTTAAGCTAAAAGCTGCACAGTTTGTATAATTGTTCTGGTGCAACTCGTTTGCAGAAGCAGCAAGTCACAGTTGGCTTTTTGTGATCTGCCATGCAATGAAGTAATTTATGCTTTTACTGTTTATGATATTATCGCAGTGCTCGCGCATGGTAAGGGGTCCTGTCGCAAGAAGCTTGCAGCCAAAGTGAACGAAAGGTCAGATAGAGGTGTGCGAAGAAGCAATGAAATAATGTTGATGAGTACGGGCTCTCAACGCTGCTGTGACACATGGTCAAATGTTGGGACCGATCCTGTCAACTGCAGGTGGCAACGAAGGAAGATAAGGAGGGCTAGTCTGAAGGAGGAAACTGGGTAGGGACTGTAGATGGTGTTCAGTAAACTGTGATACTGAAAGGATAGTTTTTGTAGGTGAAGAAATGGGTGAAGATTTTTGAGGTGGTGGTATTGCTTGCATTCTGAAGGTATCTTTACCTGTTTGCAAAACACGGCGTGTGTTACCTTGCTCGAGGTAGACACAACTGTGTGGTGGTGCTTGAAGTCCAGCTGAAGGATAGAGAAGTTGATGTCCTATGTTGTCAGGTTGTAATCTTTAGATCTGGAAGCATAGATGGGATGGAGATTTAAACAAACAAAAAATCACTCATAAAAATGGATTGAGAGGAACTTAATGGATCCTGAAGGTTTTTCCTGCTGTCTCACTTCCCCAGGGAGGTGTTGAGCAGTCAGACAGAAATACCTACTGTAACCCTTGCATCCGTTCTTGTTCCATGGCAGGAGCAGGCATACGTAATCCTTGGAGAAGAGTTTAGACCATTTCTTCAAGGTTTACTCCAGATAGGCATGTCTTTTGTTTCTCGTCTTCTGTAAAATATTCGCTCTACCCTTTTTGTCATCAGGCAGAAGCAAGCTCTCCCCGCCCCAAACTCTGGAGGACTGTCTGACAATGAAAGACAGCACACTTTGGGGCCTTTTCTGGCATCATTGCATTAAAATGCAGCATTCTAGCACTGGTCAAAGTCAAAGTAGGTCTAGACATCTCGCTTTTACTCTTTGCAATTAATGAATGTCTTTTGGTTTTTTTTAAGGGGTAGCAGGTTTTGACATACATGGGCACACAAGATTATGAATAGCGAAGACAATGAAGGGTGGGACATCCATCAAAGAGTGACAACCTCTTATAAGGTAATTCAGGAACATATCGAATTCATCCTGTTGTACTTGTAAAATCAATTAAGTAGTTGTTGTTGGCCTCCATCTTCCTGGCACTGTACAGTCATTATAACCAAGAACATATAGGTACATTTGCCCCCCCCCTCCCGCCCCCTACTTAATTTCTTTTGCTTGCATGGAGAAAGCCAATAGGTAGCAATACAAATGCATACTGGGTTGTGAATGAGATTGATTACAGTTGCAAAACATTAAATATTAAGTGCCAAATGGCTAATGACTTCAGTGGTCTTCCTTCCCTTCTCCAAAGATTGTTGATGTAAATGGGAATTTGCAAACATGAATTTTTGACGGTCTGTGGAGCAGAAGTGAAAATGTTTTCAACTCTGGTGTGTACCTCTAACTATCCCGAAACCTTTAATGTTACAGTTAAGTATTCTTGTCATTTGAATTTGATTGCTTGCCGTAGGGGTGAGGTAGAAGAGTAGGTATTTACAGAAGCTGCGCAAGTGATAAAAGGAGCTGCTTATGCCTGACTTTGTCTTCTGCTTTGTATGTTTTAGTACTTATGTACTTTAGTACTAGCTAATTTGAATAAGCTCTGCTAGTCACATGCAACATATGGGGTTGGTGCCAACTTTTTATAATGCTGCATTACAAATATACCCACCAGCTGAGAAGTGTGATAGAAAGAGCTTTGCTTTTTCTTAACCAGCTGTCTTCATAGATACTTAACAGGGGGATACTGCTGTCCCCTTAAATGAGAAAACCCACTTCTCTTCATCTGTTTAGTCATCCTATCTCTTTCTGTAATGTCTTCAGCAACTAGTTTGACCTTAACTTTCATGATCGCATGAGGTCTTGCAAGTATTAAGCCTTTAGAAGCAGGGACTGTAGAAACTTTTGATCAGGTATTGTCAGTTTGAGAGAAGTTTTTGTACACATTCAGGAAGTAGGGCCAAAGGGGCATGGTCTGATTCTTTAACTTTTTGTGTGTGTTTGTGAAGGATCTGCCCTTGGCTGATACCAGTCATGTTCTTCTATCAGTTTTTACTTGTAAATCCAAAGAAAGATCATGTTCTTGTAGTTGGAATTTGACTAACAGTAGTATTAGTGGTGTGATCCAGGATGAAGTCAGGCTCGCTGTCTGAGGTGAGCATGTTCTGAAGGGCTAATTGGAGTTCAGAAAAGAGCTTAGCAAAAGCTTGTTAGAGTCAGTAGAAATACTTCCATTGTCGTCAGATTAACCAGGTTTGATTTTTGGAATAAGCTGCAAATCTGAACTATTGAGTTAGCAGTTGACGGTTTGTAAATCCCAGTGTCAGATAATGGAGTTCATACTATACACCAAAACAAAACCAATATCTAAGCCTTGTGTAACCTATTGAGCTAAAAAGTCATCTTCCATAACCCTATGCTGGAATAGTGATTGTTGCCGTACATGGTAAATCGCAGCATTTATAAATGTCAGACAGGCATTTGTGGTCATTGTAGCTACCTGTTAATTATGAGTTTATAACTCTCCAAGAAGCAGATAAGTAACATCTTTGCAATGGGCACAACTAGGTTATAGAAGAGTAGATAGATAGCTGTGCCTTTATCTGGAAAGATGGCAGGGATTGATGTTTTCACTTTTCTCTCATCTGTGTGTTTATCTGGATCACAGGAAAACAAGTGCCCAGTGGGATATGGGAGTTGATTGCAGTGTCTTTTGAATGACCTATGAATCATGAGGATCTGGAAATCCTTATGATAGTTACGTAAAAGGATGTTTAGGTGATGATGTGGATTGACAGCCTAATAAAACAAGTTTGATGTAAAGTTTAAGTTTTGCTTAAAATTCATTTTTGTCTTTAGAACTTTTCCTTGTGCTTTGATCTTGATTAAATTTACAGGAGTTTAAATATGTTTTTCTTTATCTTCTAGTTTTCTGTTAATATCCATTGCAACAGGTTTTGACTATCTTCTGAGATTCCTATTGCTCAGCATTACCTTTCTACAACTCCAGCTTTTATTGTTTATTCTCATACTCCTTTCCCTTCTAGCAATACCTGTTAATGGGATATGATACACAATGTATGTGAAAATATAAACACCTAACAGACTTCATATACGGTGAAAGAAATGCCTAAATATCTGTGGGGTTTCTCCCAGCTGGGTAGCAAGTGGAACTGCAGATGAGTACTCTTCAAACTGAGCATGGAGTAGAGTACTTCTTTTTTTCCCAATGTATGTTTTGTATCTAGACTCTGAGTGGCTATTTTAGATAGCCCTCTCCTACTGTATCTGGATAATTATAAGTTGAATGGTTCTGGTGTATGTTCTTAACGGTGTTTGACAGGGCTCTGTTAACTGCACTTTTGTATTTTCAGGTCTTTGTATATTATTTTTGTGCTCTATGTTTGGAATGTAGAGTTCCTTTGCAGTCTTTATGTACTAATAAAGAAGTCCACAAGCCAAAATACAGACAGTAGACTAATTAAAAGAAAAAAGAAGAAAAGAAAATGGAAAATTGAAGTTTTCAGTTTGAACATTGGTGTTACTAATATTCATGTGCATGTCGCAAGAAAAGACTTTATTAGTGAGACGAAAATATTTTCATTGAGGCTTAGAGGTGATACATATCTAGAAAAAAATAGAATATCATAGTTCAGTTGCAATGCAGTGCCATCTCATGCAACAGTTTAGAGTCTCTATTTAACCAGTGTCTCTGGAGTTGGTGACATTCACCACGTTGTGATTTTTCAATGAATGTTGCGTTCTGTTGCTTATTGCTCGGGTGCTTTAATGGTGGACTGTTTGATGCTGTCACTTCTGAAGAAAATGTTTATTATAATGTGTAAGTGTCCTTTTCTTTTGCAGCTCAGTGATGTAAACAATGTGGTATGATTTTTCTAGCAACACTGGATTGCTCACTATGCTGTGTATAAGATGACTTTGCTCTGCACATAGAGAGTAAATCTCAGCATTGCCTTGCATTGGTACTGACTTTTTTCTTAGATAGCTCTTTCCTGGTGCCAATCCTAATTTACTCTTCCTTTATATTGATTTAAGGTGACTAATGTGACCTCATGACGCTTCTGTAAAAGCCAGATTCAGCTAGGATGTTACACCATCACTGTCGGAGGAACCCTGAGCTACAGGAAGAGTTGCAGATTCAGGCTGCAGTTGCTGCTGGCGATGTTCACACCGTGCGCAAGATGCTGGAGCAAGGGTATTCTCCAAATGGTCGAGATGCCAATGGCTGGACCTTGCTTCACTTCTCTGCAGCAAGAGGGAAAGAAAGATGTGTCCGTGTTTTTCTTGAACATGGAGGTGAGTTGCCTAGAGAGGAAAATGTTCATACCTGTCTTACAGCTTTCTGTCCCAGTTTCTGTTGTAGGGCTTCCCAGTACCAGTTAGATGTTGGACTACTGATTTTTTTTGTTTGTTTGTTTTTCTTTGACATAGTAGTCCATCTCTGTTTCTTTCTGATGCATACTCTGGGAATGAGGTAATAGATTAGTTTAATATCTCAATACATTACTTTTTTTTCTTTTCCTTCCGGAATTGCCAAGGAGTTGTTAAAGGAATGAATAAGCATGATGAAAGCAGGGCAGAAGGGCTCATTATAAAAATAAATGCACTCAGCAGTCACTATAGTCTCTTCTGCTAGGTGATTTTATTAGAGGAAGGCAGGTCCTTGAGTTGAAATCCAAAGGAATTTTGTTTCATAATTCTTAAGCAAGTTAGGACTTTAAGTTTCTCTATGGGCTTTAACAGCTGCCTAAACTTCATGAAACGGTACTCTTTGTGCAAGGACTTCAGTGTCAGCCAGTCCAGTTGAGTTTATGCCTCTCCTGTATCCATCTGAGTGAAACTTTGTTTCAAGAACTGACTGAGTTTTGTTGGTTTAAGTGATATACTTGCTTGGGCAATGACTGTTACCCCTCAGATCGTACAGTCAGAATTTCTTTTTGCTATATATTCCTTCAAGGCCACCTTAAGTTTTAAAAGTGGATAGTCTTTTAATGTGATACTGAAGAGGAAAAACAAAAACCAGTAGGTGTTCTCCACATTCTGATTAGTGCTCTTAAACGAATAGCATCCTCTAGCACTGTTCTTACCAAATGAATTGGGAACTAAGATGTGTTTGATCCCAAGAAAACTGAAATTAGCTTTTTGATGCTTTATGTGTCTGAGGCCATATGGCCCCCTTATGCGTATCACAGTATTTGTCAGATGTATGGATCATCCTCAAAATTGAATGGCATTAATAGGTTGTGGTATTTGCATAATTAGTGGTATGTTCCTTAAGAACGATAGTGATATACAGCCTGAAGGACTGGACCCTGTTGATATACCTACTGCAGATTCTAACCATATAATGTTGGCAAATGTTTATGTCCTTATTGGAAGGTGGAAAAACCCTACAGAATTGCACTAATAACTTAAAATTTTACTTTTGAAGTGTAGTATGTGGATAATATCAAGCCTTTAGTTTGATAATTCAGAATTTTCAGGTTGTAAGTCCTGAAATATGTTGTTCTGAGCTCTATAAACATGAAGATGATCTGAAAAGAACCTTATTTATTTTATTTTAAAAGAATCTATGTTTTCGTTGTATAGTTTTTGATATTAAATAGCTGCTGATGCAGTCTTTTGGATTTATTTTTGTTGTTACTCTTTCCTATATGAAGTACTGGCTGAATCTAATGCCTCGTGAAAACTGCCTGTAATGAAACATCCTTGTTCTGAAAGCAGCATAACATTTAATCACCAGGACTAGAAAGTTGAGTAACAAATAGTGTGAGGGTTAGTCATCTACGGCAGCTTTCCTGTAGCTGAGCCTCGCTTCAGAAAACTGGCACTGTTTTGTGCCTTCCCTTGTTTTCCCTCAAAACAGAGGCATAAAAGATAATGACTATTTAAAACATAATAATGTCACAAATGAGCTATTAAGCAGTGAATGAGCTGACTCTTAAAAGCTGAGTTAATCATGCCTGCCTCATTAGCGAGAAGTTTGTGTCTACCTTTCTTCACACAGTCTCCACCTTCCTCCCGCTGAAGAAGTGGATTATTTTGATGTTGGGGCTTAATCCCTGCAGACCAAAATTATATTGGGGTGAAGGAAAAAGTAATTTTCTGGTGTGAATCTTATGGTAAACAGAGTATAGAACTGACTCTATATTAGTAATAAAGGAGATAGTGAGAGGGTGTCGGCGTTCTGGAGGAAAGAGAACTGAGATGTTGGTGGGAAGGAAAGGGCAACTGGTGTGGTAGTTGTGGCTGTCTAGAGGGATGGTGAAGCTTAGCAGAGCTGGAAGTATTTTCATAGTACAGGAATGAAAAAAATCAGTGTGCTGAGGGTAGAGTGCTGTGCCTCACATCTGAGATACTGGAAGATAACTGACCTAGTCTTGTGTGGTAGTGGGATAGAGATGGAGTCTGGCTAATAGAGGCTGAGGAGGAGTCTGATCACTGACCTGGAAATAAAAGGGAGTTTCTTATGAGTCATGACCTGCTTTTGCCTTTTTTTTTCCTTCTCCGTAATTGCACCAGTGAATCTTCACCAGTGAAGAAAAGAGCCACTCTTGTGCATGCAGATTGGCTGATTTGAGTGGAGGTGTTGGAACAGGAGGAAGCTTTTTATTATCTGCTGAGCAAGGAGACCCAGATAGATGTGGACAGTGCATAAAAAAACAGTCCAGACTAAAGGATGAAGCCAGCAGAAATACTAAATAGAGGGGCAGCAGGTCAGGTAACAAATATTCTCTAGCAAGTGATGAAATGCAGATCATTTATTAAAACCATGGAAAAAAACTTAGTTTTCATGAAAAATAAGGAATTTTACTTTCTTAGTGTATTCATCTTATTTTAGTAAAGGGAAAATTCTATGAACCCAGCTCTTCCCATCCATAGGAACATTCTAGAGTCACGAAGCTCAACAGGAAAGCAATATAAAAATAGGGAGTGCAGTTTTTGGTAATTTTGGATTTTTCCATAACAAGCTTTTTTCTCCTTTAATGTACTTTTTTATTTTCAAAATGACATACTGACACAAACAATCCAACACTGTCCAAGAACTGTTTTGTTAATCCCCAGTCACCACTGTTAACTTGACAGCCAGCTAAAGCCTTAAGTGTGTAGTTGTTTGCTGTCCGTTGGTGATACCTTCTCAGTAGTAAATGAGCAGGACAGTTTCTAATCACTTGTATTAAAGTGAAGAAATTATTTATCAAAGAGTAGCAGAAGGAAGTACCCATATTTATTTGTTTTCACTCTTGGCTGCAAGGTATCTGAATTCCAATAAGGTCATGCAGAATCCGAGAGAAACTAGAGAATACTAAATGCTCATCCCCCTAAATCAGCTCATAAAGTGTTTGTGTCTGAACAGTAATGCTTTCCTGGTGGTCTTCGGTATCAATATTATCCTAGAAAATTCAAAACAGAAGCTGTATGTAGCTGTGTTCTAAACGTTGTGGTCAGAATTAAGCCCTGGTTTGGAGAAGTAAGCTTGAAATAATAGAAGTTCTTTGTGAAGCCAGAAGCACTGCTTTCTTGGCTTCTCAAATTAGACTGTGATAATGACCTAATGAAGGTATCATGAGAGAAAGGAAATTGTTCTGCTGAGCTGAAATTGAAACTAAATTATTAGACTCTTGTTTAGGAATCTGTATATATTCTAGATTACAGTATTAGAAAAGGGTTTCATTAACAATAAGTAGAGTTTAAATGCCTAGCTTAGGTGCCCAACTTTAATGTGAAATAGAATAATCTGAATGTCACTCATTGTTGCAAATTTCAGTCTCAGATGAGATTGATTGCAGTAAATTGGTACCCTTGATAAGAAGTTCAAGGTTTATGCTCCTGTATTATGCCGTAAATATAAGAACATTAGAAGTGTCCAAATGCAGCTGTTCCTACTTGTAGATTCTGCTATCCCCAAATTAATGGGAAGCCTGAGAAGGAGTAATTATAACTGCTTGACAGTCAGGATGGAGGAAAGATAAATAAATGCTGCCAAATGCTTCATCCATTCCTAGTTGTTACACTTGTACCTGATGCTTATTTCTTTATCCCTCTGCAAACTGCAAGGTAAGGGAGTCATTCCCAATTCATTTCTACCTGGCTTGTGTTCTGGGGGCAGAGAGTTACTTTACAGCATGATACCAATACTGAGGCCTTTTAAAAAAAACCCACAACAAGCCACATTTTTAAGGCGACATCAGCTTTGTTGCATTACTTTAACTGACACAGGGACTGAACTGATGGAAATCATACGCAACACAATGCAGGTCGGACTTCTGCTAAAAGCCCTTGTGAAGTTCAGAAGTTTTCCAGGAGATGGCAGCAAAACATTGACTGAATAGCCACAGAATGTATCGGTGGTGGTGTTTCCCCAATCAAGGGCGAGACTGGTATTATCAGCTCACTAGAAGCTCATGATGTTACCGGGACTCACAGAGTTTCTATCGTGAGGTTTTGTTACCGGGTTTACTTTTGGAAGGTTAGTTGTTTGTGTTGCTTGATTGCCCAGCTGAGAGTTGTCTTCTGTTCTTGTTCAGACACTTCTCTTGGATGACTCAAGTATTTTTTTTTGGTTCACTTTAGTGGTCAAAAGCAATGAAACTTTGGAAGGAATCAAGGAATGGAGAGGTACTTAAAACCATAGGTAAAGGTCATCCTTATGTGGCAAGTAAATTGTTGGGTTTGGATGACAACTTCTGTAAAAATGTGTATACATGTCAACACAAAACTTGGGGCATATCTGCTTGAATTTGGAAATCGTGCAGAGTCAACAGGCTAGTGGCAGTATCCTGCATCTCAACTGCAGGGCAGAAATGATCCCTGGAAGTGTTTGAGGCCAGGCTGGATGAGGCTTGGAGCAACCTGGTGTAGTGGAAGGTGTCCCTGTCCATGGCAGGGGGTGGGACTGGGTGGGCTTTAAGGTCTGCTCTGTGATGGCAGCTGAGCAGAAGATTCTGCCCTCTTTATGTGATAGAGGAGAGCAAGCGCTCTTCCTTAGCAATGTGTGCGTGCATTGGCTGTTCATAACCCTCAGCCAAGTTTGTGTTAAACCTGTGTGGTCGCAATGTCCTAGTCTTTTTTTCCCCTCTAGACCAGTGCTACTTTCCTTCTGAATGCAGTATACAGAGATGAGGAAATTTAATTCAGTGTGCCACGATGCAAGGACAGGGCTGTCAAGGTTATGGAGGGTGGACAGACACCCTTCCGCTTGTCTGCACTTAGAGATGATGTGCTTTTGTGCACAAACTTGTGATTACAGAGCAGACAACACAAGCAGCTGTGAAGGACCCCAGCAGTTGTTTCAGTAGATACACAGATGCCAATTTAAGGCTAGTGTCTTGTGCAGATAGTGTCTCTCTTTACCAGCTAGAGGCTTGGGTTAGAAAAGCATCTCAAACTTTCAAATTGTAGTTTGTACCTTTTAGCATCTGACATGCAACATCTATGGATGGTGGAAGGAGAAACCTCGCAGCCTGACTTGTTCTCTAGCTGGGAATTGGCAACGAGGGAGGTGCCTCTCCTTTGGTAATTAATTTGATCCCTGGGAATAGTCATTTGCTTTACAAGTCTGGGTATATTGAGGAAATTAAGTTGATCTGATTATTTTAATTTTTAAATTTATAAGTCAGTCTTTGTGCTGTGTTGGGGGGATGGGGGGAAATATCTGTGTCATCACTTGTATTCTGCACCAACAATTTTTCCTGACTCCTTCCCTAAGTAGATGCTTACATTCTTGTAAAATCTTAAATTTTTATAAAACTATAAACTCAGAACAGATTCATCATCTATAAAAACAGACTGTATCAAGATAATCTGAAATAACATATATCCTACATGCTTTGGAAATCCTGCAGACCACGGAGAAACATTTTACCTAATACAGCATTACACCCTAAAAACAATACAGTGCTGCCAGACCACAAAACATCCGCAATTTGGGACAACAGATGTTTCTACACATGCTTCTTTTTAAGACCAAGAAGCAACACAAGGGAAAATAAAAAAAAGAAAGCTGAACATTGAGAAAGAAATGTAATATTGTAGAGCTGGAGGACAACTGGATGGACAGAGATTTGAGTAATTAGCCAGAGAGTGCTAGGAAGATGTGGAAAACTATTTGTCAAATGGAAACATATGTATATGAAAGAAAGTCTTTTTGTGTATAACTTTCTTAAATATAATTTTACTTTTTCTTAAAAATAGCATGTTCATGAAAGCAAGAATTAGTTTGAAGTACAAAAAAAGCCCTATCGTGCTATGCCTGAAAAGACTAACATTCAGCTGTTTGATTTCTTTTTTTTTTCCTCCACTGGATTACTGTAATGCCTTCTAATTATTTTTTAATTTTATTTTAACTTCAGCTGATCCCACAGTTAAGGACTTAATTGGAGGCTTCACTGCTCTGCATTATGCAGCCATGCATGGCCGCGCGAGGATTGCACGCTTGATGTTGGAATCTGAATACCGAAGTGAGATTATCAATGCAAAAAGCAACGATGGTTGGACTCCCCTCCACGTAGCAGCCCACTACGGCAGAGACTCGTTTGTCAGACTCCTCTTGGAGTTCAAGGCTGAGGTTGATCCGCTCAGTGATAAAGGTACTACGCCGCTTCAGCTGGCCATTATCCGGGAGAGGTCAAGCTGTGTGAAAATCCTTCTGGATCACAATGCCAACATCGACATTCAAAACGGTTTCCTGTTACGATACGCTGTGATCAAAAGCAATCACTCTTACTGCCGAATGTTCCTTCAGAGAGGGGCGGATACAAACTTGGGTCGCTTGGAAGATGGACAGACACCCTTACACTTGTCTGCTCTTAGAGATGATGTGCTTTGTGCACAAATGTTGTATAATTACGGAGCAGACACTAACACAAGGAACTATGAAGGACAGACCCCACTGGCTGTTTCAATAAGTATTTCTGGAAGTAGCCGACCCTGTCTGGATTTCTTACAAGAAGTGACAAGTATGTATGTAAGAGAAGTTAATCACAGGACACAGTGTCCTCTAAAAGCCTCTTTTGAATTTAGTCCCAGAAAAAAAATGCTTCCTCCCTGCCCCTTGATACTATTTAAATGCACTAGGAAGTTTCTGGGAAGGTGAAGGGATTGTGATGCTGGGAATCTCTCACTTGGCGAAGGTGCTGATGTTAGCTGATGTAGTTCGTTTAAATGAGTTTTATTTAAATATCTACAGGAAGCATTAATTTTAAAGTGAACTGTAAAATCTCGTTTTATTAGTGGTGTTAGCACGTAAGGTGTTTGGGTTTTTTGTTGTTTGGGGTTTCTTTAGTCTTTTTTTTTTTTTTTTTTTTTTTTAAAATACTCGGCAGTTTCTGGGTTTT